TAACCCTTTGACTCCAGTTCAGCTACAATCATTGCTGTAACCCCCTCTGTACAAACCACGTTTATAATGAGTCATCAGTAATCACTTGCTGGTCCACTTAGAAAATTCTGCGTCCCTAGTCATTGGTTCTGCATCCCTAGTCATTTGGTTCTGTAGGTTCTCATCCGACTGATGAGCTGATCCTAGAGCAGCATCTCCAACTACACGTTTGGCAGATGTTTCTGGGAGGTGGAGTTGGTCCATGGCCTTGAGATTGCTGGCATACTTTTCTCCATTTCATTTTCGCTACTTCCTCCTGCTGGTGGGTGTTCTCAAAGAATTGAGACCCTTCATACAGAATGTTCCTCCAAATCGGTTCCTTCTGAACAAGGGTCTCCCACACATTGACATCTATGTTGCATTTCTTGAGGGTAGCCTTCAGGGAGTCTTTGAAATGCTTCCTTTTGTTGTCCTCTTATTCGAGTGTCTTTCTTCAGCTAGGTGAAGGAGATTTGTTTTGCTATTCAGAACTTGGACACCCTAAGCATGTGGCCAGCCCTTCAGATTTGGTTTCAGATGATAATGGCCTTGATGCTGGTGCTGTTGGCTTTTTAAGGATGCTGATGTTAGTACTCCTGTCTTCTCAGCTGTCTTGAACAGCGTTGATGGTACTTCTCCAGGTCCTTGAGGTGACAATATGTAGTCCAAGTATTAGAGCCAGGAATTGCTTTCTCTGACTGGGGAATCTAGAGCAAGGTGCTACAATTTCAAGAAAAGACATGATTGTTTAAGATTGAGATGAGAAATTTCTTCATTTAGGCTTCATAATCTTAGGAATTCTCCACCTTCAGAAGGTTGTGGATACATCAGCATTGAATATGAGGCTGAAATGGGAAGATTTGTAGTGTCTTGGGGAAAATGGAATCGAAGTCTGATATCCGCCATGATCGTGTTGAATGCGCAAGATTTTTTTCTCCCTTTTGTAATGCTAGATATCTTCACAGTCACTACCCAGATAGTGTTAGCATGAATTTGGGAGTTTATCTTCACTGCCGACTGTACTGTACCCTTTCAGTGGTCAACCTTGATAGATTTGACAGGACCCTGTTGCTGTGAAACCATTCAGAGATAGTAAGAGCTGCAGATGCTGGAGTCAGATAACACCGTGTGGAGCTGGGGGAACACAGCAGGTCAGGCAGCATCAGAGGAGCAGGAAAGTTGACATTTTGGGTCAGGACCCTTCTTCATATTTCAGAAATCTCTGAAACCATTTGCTTGATTACAAAATGTCCAATTTAAGTTGAGTTCTTAGTCTAAACCACAGGATAATGGCCTGCGCTTAATGAGACTGACCTGCAGTTAGCTTCTTGACCTTTTCCACTTAGTGATTGTCCTTGATCAAACAGGCCATTCCATCACCATTTTCTTAAATCACTTTATGTTGTATTCCCCTTACCCTCGAACACTTTGATACGCTCAAAAAAAATTGCACCTTCAATTTTTACAGCTAACTTGCAGACGTTTTATTCTTGTATCTTTTCAATTAAATGTTATACAGAGACACGCAGCCGAACCAAATCAGCATTCTCCCTCTTTATTTGTAATACAGTAAAATTAAACCTTCAAGACCTTCAATAGTTACTCTATTAATTAACCAAACTTTTGAATAACCAATCCCAGACTTGGCTGATGATTAATTCCAGACACCAGTTTTGTACCTTAAACAAAAGATTTAACAATTTATTAAACATGCAATAACTTCAGCAGCAGAAAAATTAAACAACAGAGTAATCTACTACATGTATGTGCTTTAAATCTGAAATGTTTGTTTTCAGTCCTAATTCGCACAAAAGACAGGCAAACACAGTTAAGGGATAAAGGAAAGAAAATAACAAAACTGAGCACTTTCTTAAATGTTTTTCACAATGCGTTGTTTCACAGGCATAAATGTGGATTCTTGGTTGTTTTTCTGGAGGTATCGATTTGGGTCACCTTTTCAGTTCCCTCAGGTAAAGGTAGTAATACTTCTAACTCAATTTCCTTTTCACTGGGCTTCAAAAACCTGGGAGGGGAGGTTAGGCAAGGAGCTTTCAAATCTTCATGCTCTGTCATCAGCAGACAAGACACCTCCTCTTCTCTTCTCAAAGTACATTTCAAAAAACCGCGTCAACTCTGGCCCCACTCTGAGACTGTGACCGTCTTTTCCCAGGGCCTCTGTTACCATTCAGCATCCTCCAGCTGCTTGAATGTAGGGTCTGTCCCAGACTTGCTGCAATCAATTGTCAGTTCCTGATCTTGTTAATAGCCAACTTTTTACTTTCTAGAATCATACAGCTTGGAAACAGACTCTTCAGACAATTAGTCCACGCCGACAATATTCCCAAACAAAACTAGTTTCGCTTTCTTGCGTTGACCCATATCCGTCCAAACCTTTTCCTATTCATGTATTTATCCAAGTGTCTTTTAACTGTTGTAACTGTACCTGCATCCACTACCTGCTCTTGCAGTTCATTCTACACTTGAACCAGTCTGTGTTTTTAAAAAAAAAAAGTTGCTCCTTGTGTCCTTTATAAAAGTTTCTCCTATCGCCTTAAAAATAGTTTTGAACTATTGTTGCTGAGTTTTGAACTCCCCCACCCTAGGGAAAAGTCCCTTGTTTATTCACATTATCTCATGACCTTAACCTCAATAAGGTCACTCCTCAATTTCATAGGCTGGGACGTTCTTCACTGCAGCATATCTTTGTAACTCTTTGTGACTGTTCTTGGCAACATCTTGCTAAATCTTTTCTGAACCCTCTCCAATTTAATAATATCCTTCCTATAAAAAGGAGGCCAGAATGGACACAGTCTTCCAGAAGAGGCCTTACCAACGTCCTGTACAATCTCAACATGGCGTCCCAACTCCTGTACTGAAAAGTCTGAGCAATGAAGGCCTTCTTAATGACCCTGTCTATTTGTGATGCAAATTTCAAACAGTTATGTACCTGAACTCCAAGGTCTTTTTGTTCTACAACACTTCTCATGGCCTTACTTTTAATTGTATAAGTCCTGCCCTTGTTTGTTTCACCAAAATGCAATACCTTGCATTTATCCAAATTAAAGTCCCATCTGCCACTCCATGTTCCCCTCTATTGGCTACGTGAATAGTAATTCACTTGAGGTACTGGCTGTTTCTAGAATCTCTTGTAACACTGTGTATAGGCCTGTTACTATATTAATACCAAACAGCAATGTCTTGTATTGGCAAAGGTCTGATGCAAAATGGCAGTGGAAGAGTAGGATGCTTCAGCCAGAGCTCATCTGCTCAGGCTGTTTTTTTTTCTTTCTCTTCTTTGTGTTTTCTTTTCCTCTCCTCTTTCTTCCCAGCGATGTCATGAACTATTAGCCTCAGCACGGACTTGAACCCCTAGCCTGAGCAAGGACCTGGTAAGGAGTCCTCCCAGCTGGGCATGTCAGTCTCCATAATACTCATTTTCAAAATAAACCCATTTTGGTCTCGACATTTGTTTTCAGCTATGTTTGCTCTTGATGAAGAACCTGAATCATCTTGCTTGATCATTAAGCTCCAACAAAACAGTTTCAAATTCTTCTCACCAGTTTAAATGCCTTATCATAGATTGATGCCATTAAAACCATTACAGTACGCAATACAGCTTTCAATTTGCCAAAGGTATCTGGTGTTGATTTGTCTGTTCAGATTTCTTGCTTTTAACAAGCTTGTCAAACTATAGTCCTGAAATTTAGAATGGAGTTCCAATAAAATCCACCATTACCTATATATTGCAATGTTTCGCATTTTATTTCAGGCCTGGGAAAATTCAAGATAACCTGAGTGGCCTACTTCTGCTCCCATAACCTATGTTTGTGTTTGTATACAAGGCAGCTATGGATTGCGAGTATTTGACTGGGTCCATGGCTGGCCTTTAAAGTTGGCATGGCACCTGAAGAAATAGAATCAACAGGGTGTCGTAGGGATGGAGCATAGATAATAAGGCAAATTTGGGAAAGTAGTGTGAGGAAACTCACTAGGACTAATTGGAGAAAAGCTCTTCATGAATCTCTCCAAAAATGACACTAGGGTTGATTGGTGAAATTCAGCCATATAATTGAAGAGTCAGACTTTGCCTTTGTATACTCAATCCATGGGTACAGCAACTTCAGAAAATGAACGAATGCCCCTTTTCCTTACTGGTTCTGCTGGCACGACAGTTGAACAATGCCTGGATGCATTTTCAGCAGAACAGGGAAGATTTCTTGTGCCCTTCCTTTTGTAACTCCTGATGTTAGAGTGAAAACCTAATCTCATGTGTTGCTCACAGTTGAGAGAAGAGTGGTAGTTGGAGCTGTGGTCTTATGCTTTTTTTTTTGAGAACTATGGATGAAATGGCAGTTCCCAGACTGATGTTTACATAGTTTAAAAACTTAAAAATCGTTGCTGTTTCATTCTGTCGAATTGTGCTTTCATGTTATGTATTGTGTTAGTTAAGATCTGGAGCATACTCCCACCTGTTGTCTTTTAGCCAAGGTTGTTCACTTTCTAGCTGTCTGAGCCATAAACTTGAATGGCTGCCATTCTTTCAGATTTTATTGGGATAGAAAATGCAACTCCTTTCCAAGAAGGCCATTGTCAATGAGTTCCATTTATCCCTGGAATGTTTATTTAATTTCAAGTATCTCTTATGATCCTTCTTGAGAGTATTGTCCGGTTCCAGTTGCAGTTCAGTCTGCCAAATAATCATTTGACTTGGGAACCATGTTATTAGCCTGCTTTGTGTTTATTTTTAAAAGTAGATTACAGTTTCTAACAAAATCTGTTATTTTAACTACTCATTTGTGATATTATGTATCATTGATCTCTAGAAATATTTTTCAACTGTAAAGCTGTTTTAAACACAACTGAAAATGTGGCTTACCTAAGTTATCTTTCCTGGAATCAAAATGTCAAGAAGAAATGAACGTGATATGGACTGTGTATCGAGTGCAATAAAATTAAATGCATCTACGCATAATTGTTTGTAGATCGTGTTACATCTTGCACAAGAACGTGACTGCAATCAGTCTCCAGTCCATGGAATAGCTCAGTCACCTGCTGGATCCCCAGGCATGCAGCGTACTGAGAGCCGACAGCATTTGTCTGTTGAACTAGCTGACACAAAAGCAAAACTCAGACGGATCAGGCAAGAAATGTAAGTACATAGATCAGAACTAAGCTTCCCTGATCTCAACGATCAGTTAATTGCATTCAATTTACAAAAATGGTGTCATTTTGTTGAAAGTGGTTTGGGGCAGAATTTTAACAAAAAAACTTTGCCTGTAGTACTGCATTTGGATTTCTCTTGTTCTTAAATAGATGAGCCGAATGACTTCCCTTATCTGATGTAATGTTAGAATTGTTATTACATTGGACCTGAAGAACTACGAAACAAATAGATTTATGTTGCTTTAACAAGTGAAATAAAATTGTCCAAACCAAAATCAGTGAGTTTGTGAATGTTGAGATTAAGTTGTGTTGATGCCAGAAAGTAAGAGCCAGGTTATTACAATCCTGACCTTAGCTACCTTTATGATCTTAAGGGTCATCATCTAAGACCAGAATTGTCAGGGATGAGGGAACTGATTTCATATTTCTTCAATCAGCTATGGGTGACAAACCCTAATGCAAGCACAGAAGAAATGAAAGAAATCTAAAATCTGTTTCAGAAATTGCTTACTTGCTGTGAGAGTACAGTTTAGTAGTTAACCTGTGGCCTGTAATTCAATATTCAAAACTGAATCAATTCTTTAAGTATTTAAGCTAGAGTACAAGAACAAACAGACACATGAAATCAACAGCTGGCCATTAACTTCTACCTCTAATGAAATTTTCTTTACTTTTGTACCCCAATAAACTGGCCACATGGCACTAATGCATTCGGAAAGAAATGAAAATTGCTTCTGTTTGTGATCCCATATTTGCTGATCATTAAGCTAGAATGCTGGAGTATGTTGTTTTGAAATAATGCCATGATAGTAAAATAAACACGTGCATGACATTTTTTTCTTAAGTCAATTCTAAACAAAACATATTTTAGCCGTATGTAAGTTAGTAAGTAAAATACTGATGCATATTATTAATTTAGAACCTACATTATGTAAGACATTGGATAGACAGGAAGAAGCATTTGTAAATGGCTTCTGAAACTGTGTTTTCTAGCTTAGAACTGTCTGTAACTTGTTTACTAAATCTATTTATATGTTGATAACCCAGAGAGATGATAATGATATAACAAAAGTTGTATAATTTTCAACAGGAGGACCTGTTTAAAACTGCACAATGCTGACTGTGTATTTGATTTTGTGGAGTTCTCGGATTCTGAGGGACTGAATTTTTTTCTCTGTGCTTCATTGTACTAATTAGTTCATTAAGAACATGCATGTATCTAGCATCCAAATGGTTCAGAAGATGCAACAGCTTAACTTCAGTGTCTGCTGTTGTTTGAATTTTAATAGTTTCATCTAATGTTTTGACCTGAAAGCTGGAATTGCACTGAATGTCCTCCTATCTATTATGCATTCATAACTCTGGCACTCAAAATGGGAACAGCTTTTAGTTCTACTGCTTTTTCTAAAAAAAAAGTGTGAGGATAAGAACAAGAAAAAAAGTATGACTGAAATTTATCTGGAGCAGAGGCAACATGGCTTTTTTTTTTAAAAAGCTTGGTGCTTTCCTTCATGATTGTGAAAGGCATGCATCTTCTAGAATGTATCCTAGTGCTCCTTCTAGATGTTTTTCCAGCTTCAGGAGTAATCAAGGTGTTTGACTGCAGAGTACCAAGGAGAATCTCCCAAGATTGATGTCAACTCTACTCCCATTTTGCTAGATAGTGAACTAGCCTTGGACCTTGTTCTACCTTTTTTAGTGATTGTTCCTGTCCACTTTTGTAGTACCTACTTCTGAGTAAAAATATTTGATGCGTTGAGTGCCTTGGTGTGCGTAATCTCGTCCTTCCCTTGGTCTTGGGCATGCTGCAATTACTAATCTGAATGGTAACAGATCTAAAGCAGCCTTGAGATCAGTTAAGACCTCCATCATGGAATCATCTAGATGCAAGTATTATTGAAACTGAATGAGTGAGTTACTCTTATTATGTATAGTATTCCAAACAAGGAAACTCCCTGTAGAAATAGCATAAAGTAATCTGTAGACTCAATTGCTCAAAAGCTTTCCTACGCTGATGCAGTTATTGTACTCTTCCATTATCATCATTACATCTCAAATGGCCTCCATGATTATGCTCAGTAGTTTTTCATATCACTCTTCTGCCTTATACTCTTTCTTGTTCACATGCAGCACTTTATTTCATGCTGTCCTTAAACTCAATTTTGTAAGCCTTCAGGCTAAACACATTAGTGCTTGGAACAGGTTGAGTGAGTTGTATAGGGTGCTGTGAGTACTTTTTGTTTCAATACTGCAAGTTGTTCCTTGTGGCACCTTTTTTAGAAGCAAGTTAGAAGCTCAATATTGACTGCATCTCAAGTGGTATTTCAGAGGACACTTAACAATGTGCTATGGTATTGACTGCATATCTGAGTGATCATGGATAAGTAGATAGAATAAAGCTAGCAGAAATTGGGATGATGAGATACTTCACCCACTCCTCATTCTCACCAGGCTCCTACTCATTTATTTTCATGTAATTTTCAAAGTGATTTAATGGATATAGTTGCTGAACTTTTTTCCTATAAGCTTTTCCTTTTTCTTTATGGTATCTTGATTTGCAAACATAAAATTAGGTCTAAATTTCTGCCACAAAGAATACACTCTCTGCCATGATGAAAATAATGGAAGATGTTAAAATCCTAAATTCTGCCTCTAAACAAACAACTTTTGGTGTGGTGGGGTGGGAGAGGTCCGATTTAGGGCAGGCCACACTTATGGAGGTAGATGGCCATTTACATTATCTGTTGCCTCCACACAAACTAGATTTTGGAGATCCTGTTGTCTAGAACCCCAAGTGGGGATTAGACCAAGTAAGGGTATATTTTGTTCTCAGTGCATTTCTTTTGGATAGCCAGGTTACGGCTTTGAAGTGGCAAAGTTCCTTTATGCATATGATCCCAGAATATCCCAGGGAATGGTGGTCAGGAATCTTTTCAAGACAGAGGGATGAAGGGGAAATGAGGGGGCATCAGCTCTCCTTTGCTGGTGGGTTTGGGGGTCTTTGGGTGACTTAGGGTTTGTCGTATGCACTTTGGGATTGTTAACTCTGAAAATTGTGCGCCAAAGCTGCATTAAACCCTTGGAACTCTCCAACTTGTCAAGAAGTGCCAATGTGTTAAGAAATCCTGAGCTGTACTGTCAAGACCTTTCAAGCATTGCGAAAGCAGTCAATATCTGTCAAGATATATTTTTACGAATGAGTTTCTTTGTCAATAGATTGTACCCTGCAATATTGATGTTAAAATGACTGAACTTTATTTTTTTCTTCTGTGTGCGTTGTATATAGATGCAAAGGTACAAACCTTACTTTTATATTTGAGACTAGAAATTTGCACCAACCCATCACCAATCAGTTGCTTTCCCTGCTCTCCTATCATGTGTGATTTATGACATCACTCCACTACTCATTTCACTGCAGATAGGCTCCTCCATTGTTGCCTTTTATCCTCTCCCACTCTTCTCTTACTCTGGCGATTTTACTTCTTACAGTAAACTTTGCTTAAAGCACTGCCCAAATTGTCATATTGGACAAAATTTCAAAAAATACTCAATCAGTTTTTGTCTGACTCATTCAGGCAAAGTCACCACTTGTACTGACTGTGCAGAATTACTTTTGAAAAGACAGGCATTCCCTAAGTTGCAAATGGGTTCCGTTCTGGAATCCGTTCACAAGTCGGTTTGCACACAAGTCAGAATAACATAAAATAGCCGTTCATAGTTGGACCTTTAATATTACACCTTGTATGGGATTATGTTCATAAGTACAAGCTTTCGTCAGTCAGATGCTCAAAAACCGGGGATCCCCCTGTACATTTCCTTGGATTGGAGAGGAACTAGGACTAGACGAGAAGTTCTGCTCAAAGAAATTGAATAGTCAGGTGTTAAATTGAAAGGCAGAACCTCCCAAGGTAATGTTCTCAGGATTACTACCTAAGCCATGGGAAAACTAGCATAGAAGGAATAAAGTCAATCAGATAAGTACGTGGCTCAAAGACTGGAATTAATGTAATACATTTCAGTTCGTGGGACAGTCACATCAGTGCTGAGGTAAAAGAGAGCTGCTCTGTTGGCACGGGCTTCAATTGACCTTTGCTGGAATCAGTGTCCTGCCAAATCAGGATACTAGGCTGTAAGCTAATTGGTGGGGTTGGGGCAGGGGGAAGAGAGAGACAGAGAAACTGGAACATAAGCTTCCAAAGCAAACAATATGACAACATTACAGAGCAGCTGTTTATACTGATACCCAGAAACAGACAAGGTGTACGAATATTGAAAAACAGCAACAAATGGGCAAGTAAGTCTCGTAATTACTACATAATGTCCTCCTCAGCTGATGAACCTGTACTCCTCCCTGTTGAACACCGCTTGGAGGAAGCACTGAAGATGGCAAGGGTGCAGAGTGTCCTTTGAGTGATGGATTTCAATGTCCACCACCAAGAATGGCTCGGCAGAAGCATGACTGATTGAGCTGGTCCTAAAGGACGTAGTTGGGAAACTGGCTTTGCAGCAGATGATGAGGGAAGCAACAAAGGGAAAAACATACTTGACCTTATACTCACCAGTCTGCTGGCTGCAGATGCATCTGCCCATGACAGTATGGGTGAGAGTGGCCACTTCACAGTCCTTATGGAGATAAAGTCCTGCCTTCACATTGAGAATATCCTCCTTAGTGTTATGTAACACTGTCACTGTGCTGAAAGGGACAGATTTTGAACAAACATAGTAACTGGAGATTGGGCATCCATGAGGCACTGTGGGCAATCGACAGCAGCAGAATCGTGCTTCAGCACAATCTGCAACCTCCTGGCTTGGCATATCTCCCACTCAACCATTGCCATCAAGCCAAGGGATTAACCCTGGATCACTGGAGAGTGTAGGAGGGTATACCAGGAGCAGCACCAAGCATATCTAAAAGAGGTGTCAATCTAGTAAATCTACCAAACAGGACTACTTGCAAGTGATGGAGAAGGCTAAGAGATCCCGCAA